TGTCCGTTCGAATGTATGGAGGACGCTCAAGGCGCACTTGATAGACTAGCAAGTGGTGTTACTACATTTGGCGCAACCGGGAAGCCCTCCGGATAGACTAGCAGGCAGTGAGGTAGATCGATGCGTACCCACACGAGAGGACGTTTCGTGTAAGAGTGAAACAGGAAATCTCGGAAAGGGCAGCAGGTAGTGGGGTTCGTCAGGACTCAGTCCCTGGTCCCATACTACTTGTGCTGTATGGTATTGACGTAACCGAGGTCTGCCGGAGCCCCGGTTTCTCATTTACGGACGACCTCAAAGTAGTTGGGGATCCATCATAGGGGGACTTACAGGGGGCACTAAACGCAATTCGTGGCTGAGCGGACACATGGGAGCTACCACTCAGCGCCAGTTAATGCAGGCACCTGCTGCTGAACAGAGGAGCAACGGAGGTGCGTCAAATGGGCGCTGGGTCGACGGACGCCATAGAATATACTGATGTGGTCAGGTATCTAGGGGTGCAGATACACTCATCCTTTAAACCCTCAATGCAATGTACGGCAGCCGCAGCAAAGGTCAATAGAGCCTTATTCCAACTCTGCCGAACGGAAACATCAAGGGAGGCTAACGCATTCTTGCCACTGTATAATGCTTTTGTGCGACCACATCTGGACTACTGTGTCCAGGCGTGGGCCCCTCTCCTAGTAAGGGATAAACAACTGCTCGAGGCAGTGCAAAGAAGGTTCACCCGGATGATCAGTGGACTGCAGGGTAAATCATACAAAGAAAGGCTGGCGGTCCTTGACTTATTATCATTGCGCCGCAGTCGCCTGACGGGTGACTTGATTGAGACGTTCAAACAACTCAAAGGACTGTCAATAGCAGATAGATCTTTATTTACGCCAAATCTCAATCCAACCATCAGAGGGCATGCACTGAAGCTGATGAGCCCACAGACCAACGGAAGTGCCAGGGCACAATTTTGCTCCCACCGCGTGGTAAACGTATGGAACAGGCTTCCATCTACAGTAGTAGCGGCAACTAATGTTCTGCAATTCAAACGGAGACTGGATAACTGCAGGGACGAGGTGTTTCCAGAGTATGACTTGCACAAGTCTCAGTCACTACCCACATACCCCTTATGTAGATGCTTGTCTAGTTCACCATCACTCCTTTACATCAGTCACCTCACGCACAATTGCTACAACATGTTTTAGCCCCTGGGAAGCTCTCATGGCAGGAGTAGCAGTCTGCTTAGGTGTGGAGCCTGTCTAATGGATGGGACTGCTGATTCCCCGAGGGTGATCCTGATCTTCATCTCTTCCCTCGTAGGTACAACATCCAACACAACTGTAGAATAACCTGTCAGTCATAGCACAGTGAGAACCACCAGCTCACATGTGCAAGAACCTGGACGTTCACTTGCCGAAGCCAAAAGTCCCGTGACCTGACCGCAGGATTGGTCGGCAAATAGGTGTCATGATTGATTGCCTGGAAGCTTTACCGTGGTGCATGCGTATACGTTACACGATCACCACAGAAGGCCTCTCTACGTCTTGTGATTTGAATTTGACTTGGATGGGATTGAACCACGCGCTGAACTTTACTGACGGTGGCCACATTGCAGGCAACAAACATTGTTCTTCAATATCCGAAGTATTCCAGTTTTTCATCCTTCTGATGGTAGTTTATTTCGGAAATGCGAACGCCCGAGTTCGGTTTATCAATGTTTGCTTGTTTGAATTCACTGGCACGGTATCGGCGCGCCTGAAGGTCGCATCACGTTTTCCGAATGAGGTAGGTGTATGCCGGTTCGTCGTTTGCTTTTATACACTAATCTTATTTAATTCCATTTTTCTCTCAGCAATCTTCGACCACAAAAGCGGCTCGCAGCCGCGGTGCTTGGATGCGGGAAAAAGAAGATATGGTTGGATCCCAACGAGAATTCGACCATCGCGAATGCCAACTCGCGGAAGATGATCCGTAAATTGTTCAAGGACAGTCTGATCATCAGGAAGCACGTCACGGTTCATTCTCGTGCACGATGCAGGGCCAATCTGTTGGCACGGCGAAAGGGTCGTCACACTGGGCCTGGTAAACGAAAGGGTACCGCCAATGCGCGCATGCCGGAGAAAGTGTTGTGGATGAGACGAATGCGTGTGCTAAGAAGGCTCCTTAAGAGATATCGAGAAGCTCACAAAATCGATAAGCATCTGTAAGTATGAATTTCCTCAACTCATTCCTTTCAAGGTACCATCACTTGTATCAACAGTGTAAGGGTAACCAGTTCCGCAACAAGCGAGTTTTGATCGAGCACATTCATAAGAAAAAGGCCGAACGGCTACGTGCTAAGCAACTCAGTGATCAAGCAGAAGCTATGCGTCAACGGAAGCGCGACGCCCGTCTTCGCCGCGAAAAACGTCTGGAGGATCGTAAGAGAGCCATTATCGAGTCTGCAACGGCTGCACCGGCTCCCAAGCCCGCTCAAGCACCGACCCCGGCTCCAGCAGCTGCTAAACCCGCTCCTGCTGTTGTTCCTGTGGTTCCCACTCCAGCTGCTCCAGAACCTCAGCCGAAGGTGGAAACCAAAGTCGCGGAGCGTCCTGCTGCGGCTCAACCAACTGCCAAGACTCCAGAAAAACCTGCAGCAGCCGCCAAGGAAACCAAAGTGAAAGCGGGATCAAAAGTTGCCCCGCCGCCAAAGATTCCGGCTCCATCAAAGGCACCTGCAGCACCACCGAAAGTGCCTGCTCCTAGTTCCGCGAAACCGGCCGTTAAGAAGACTGGAAAGCGTTGATTGAAATATATCACTCCAAACTCGGTTTGTCGTCTTCTTGATGCGCAGTCAATTAATATTTTATCGCTCAACGGGAATTGCCAGAAGGGTTTAATGTAATGCTGAGTGTTTTTGCGGACCACGCCTGATTCGATCTCTGTATTTGTTAGTTACCACAACAGACGTGTACGTGCAGAATGTGACGTACTCTCTCCCGTTTTTGGTTTCTCGATTCGTGCTATCATCCTCGACGTTAGTGTTCAATGTGGCTTCGTGACGTCTCGCAGTTTGAATCCGCATTCTTTTTCCATTGAAAAGCGAGTTACACTCCGCCATGTTATTCGCCATGCGTTGATTGATTTAAGTTAGTGATTATTTAGGTTTATTGATTAGCCCCTGTTTCTTTGATCACTTGTTATTACCTCAGTGAATGATTTATGAGCCGGATGTTATGTCCATCGTGACACCTCTGCGGATACATTGAATTTTGCATTTGAAGGGCTTGCCCACTGAAGCGGCACCTTCCAGTCACCTTTTTGTTACCGAAAGATTTCGACGTCCCGCTAATTTCACATGACGCGCGTTAACTTCCAACTGCGTTTTGTAATACTTCCGGTTATTTCTTAACTCAGTATTTAGGCTGTAGGCCATGCCAAACTAATCAGATGTTTTGGTGAGTAGCACTGACGCGAGGCGTTACTCCATTTTACTACATTGCACACATTTTGCAAAGACGTTGCCATTCAAATCATGGTATGAAATTCGCGAAAAAATATTCCGTGATTTGTTTGGGGGTGACAATTCGAGGCAGGTGAATTTCAGTCACCGTCCGGAAAGGAAAGAGCACCAATTGTTGGTTTATCATCGACGCATGCACCGATGATTGCAGTTCTGATATACAAAAGTGCGATTTCTACAATATACTCGCCGAAGTTATTCGGTTAACCTGAAACTTGCACTGGCCGGTGCTTTGAACATACAAGATGAAAGCTGAGTGCTTCGGAAGCTTGCTTAAGGCATCACTGTGCTCTAACCTGCAATGATGATGGCGATCGAGTTCTTCAGCTCAGCGCAGAACATTTGTTCCTTTGCAGTACCAATTTTCGACGGACGGCAGCGTGGCGCTCCGGTTCAACTGGCTCGCTAAATCAGTCAGCTTTCGTTGGCGTAGCTCTTTGCGAACTTGTGGGTCCTATTGTACAACTTGCGTTGAGTCTGACCACGCACTCGTTTTGATGCGGTTCACTCTGAACCAGTGGCCGGCGATAAAACAAGATAAGTCGGTTAGCTCATTACTTTTTTTCCTATCAGTCAGTGCACGATGAGTCAAGGCAGGCGCCAGAGACAAGCGAGCTTCGACGTGACGGTACAGATGAGCATGGAGATTAGATTAGTTGGGCAGTTCATTCTGCGTCGAATTCGGCTGGTGGGTCTGAATCTCAAGCATGTCCGAGAGTTGCATCTCACTAGTCAGTAGACTTGATGGAGAGAAAAGTCATCCGACCTTACAGGATCAGAACAGGGTTAGGTAGCGTCTGCAACGTCGAGAAATGCCGGGACAAATGGATCGGCAGGGTCAGCAGTAGTTCCTGAAATAGAAGCAGCAGCTGTACCGGAGAATAGTTGAAGACTCTCCTAACTGATGAGCCAAGCAGGAGATCGGCGAACCACAATTAGTGAAACAATCTGCGGCGATGGTGACACGCTGTTCGCGATAGGGAACAACGGCTTGGTCGCCGGCGGAATACTTCAACAAACAGTTAAGTTGTTTGGACGCTAGCCGAACTATCCTGTCTTTGGAAGTTCACACTTCGTGGACAGTGTCGTGTAGACCTCCCACTGAACTTGAAGTACTGTCTTGCATCGAAGCCCTGAAGAAAGGAAAAGTAGCGGGACCTGATGGGCTTCGTCCCACTCTGTGTCGGCATAGTCGCTCATCGGCTTTCCTTGGACCCTATGGTCCGAGGTTCGAGCTCCGCCACCAAGCCTGAGTGGTAGGCAGCTTTATTGAAAGAACTTTGGACTCAGGTCATCACGCATCCCTTACGGGTTCGCTCCCTTGCAAAAGAATGCCGTAGAATTAGGTGAACATGCTGAGATCGCTGCACTCACATACTTCTGGTAGCGTCAAGGTCTGCGGTGGGATAAGTAGGTGTTACTTGACCTGAATGGGGCGTTCGACTCAGTTGACCGCGAACCTCTAATGGGTTCTTTTTCGAAAACGAATACCCCAGAAGTAGGCTAACTCATTGAGGTCACTGTACTCACATACCTCTGATCGAGTGAATGTGTTTAACGAACTCAGGCTGTTCATCACCAGCAGCGGCATTTGTCAATCTTGTATCCCGCCATTCCTGTGTAATTTCGTCGTAGACGAAATAATCGAGAACGCACTAAGAGGTGTCCAAAACGCAGATAATAAGTGGGGGGCCGGAAAATGCTTTGCTATTTAGACTACGCCGATGACATCCTCTGTCCGTTCGAATGTATGGAGGACGCTCAAGGCGCACTTGATAGACTAGCAAGTGGTGTTGGCACGTTCGGCGCTTGCTTTACACCTTCAAATTGCAAAGTGAACCTGGATGGCTGGTTGTCGCCTAATCCCGCTTTGAAACTAAATTCTCAGGATTTAGTTACGATGGATCACTTTCCCTTCTTAGGTAGTGAAGCCAAGGACGGTAGCTCACGAAGAAGATACTCACTCGCATTTACAAATTTTGAACTGGTGACACGGAGTGAATCACCTTTGGCGTAGCCGCGATGTTTCATTGAAGATCAAAAGCCGTTTGTATTGTGCTATCATCATCGTAGAGCGAAATACGGAGAAGCGAACTTCATTGATCGCTGGTAATTTCGCAATGCATGTGCACTGAGGTTTGATGGACAAATACCACTAGGGTGTTCACTAAGAGGGGGAACTTTTAGGGTTCTCAACCGGAGCCTTTACTTCGGAAAAGAACCTAGCCGCAAAGCAGAGGGGTAAAAGGATATGGAGGCTCATTTACACCATCTACATCTGCACCATCTTATGCCGATAGAAACGCAAATTCTAGTGGAACTGCCAATGTGGGGGACCAGGAGACTGGACTTCGTCCGACGTCTGCCTTTCGACTTTCCAGGCATGATTGGATCTACGGATTGACGAAAGCTATCCTGTGTAGCTCGTTGCGTCAGAGAGGTGCACAAGCCATCACACTACGTCAAGGTGCAGTCGTGTCATGCCACGGTTTGTTCAGTTCTGCTTTGAGCTTGTGAGACATTGAGTTTGCGAGTAGATATCAATAAGCCAAAGATTTTAGCTTATCTGTGCTTACGTAGTATAACTCACGTGGAGTGGAGTGAGCTGGTCAGTGACCCAAAGGTAGTCTGTTGCGTACTTGGGTGTTTATCGAATTCAGATTAGTAGGCTTCGCCGTTTAGGGCACGTATCGCGTATGCCCTCCTGTCACCTACCACACCGCGCTTTACCCGCTGTGGGTGCTCTGGGCCGGGTCAACCAGTGACCTGGAGATGAGACGAAGAAATGCAAAAAGCGACTAGGCGGAGAATGTCTCGCGCCTTACAGGTTACCGAAGGATATGTCAAATAACCGACAGCAGTGGTGCTCTTGTCATTTCTTATCAGGTCAGAGCGTATGAATGGGTATGAATACACAGTTAGATTGTGTACTCTGTGTTGGACATGGAGGTTCACTTTCTTCCCTCTCCTTAAAACCCAGTCCCGGTGCACCTTGCATACTACCACTAACTTGGTAGTGCATTACGAGTTTGGCTATAATATGACTTTTTATTACACACCTAGGTGTGATGAACAGCAGACGGAGTAAACCCCATAGCCACGAGGACCTGTTGTTCAGTGGTTGAAATTGGCAACCTAAGCCCCGGAACTTGGAGTGGCGAACCACATAAGGCCCCGATGGGTTGTGTCTGGTATTGAACCGGACGACAGCAGAACTGCCTACCACCAAAGTCGGGTGGTGGTGGCGGGGCTCGAACCTCGGACCATGGGGTCCAAAGCACGCCGGTGACAGCAACTAAATCACTGCACCACCACCAACCTAGTGGAAACATTTTTCGAACCAGGTTCAGTAAACAGATAATCATTATAAACTTCGAACTTGTCTTAATAACGGACAACAATATCCCCTAATGTAGGCCCACGCAAAACCCTTCTTGATTTTTCCCAACTGGTTGTTTTTGCGTTGAACGATCTCGCTAACTACGTCGGAGATAGAATTCCGAAAGAAAGAAAGAACAAATATTACGGGAAAAATTGTATTCACATTATAAAAGATGTTTCATGAGTTTCCCATTCTGCTGCTTGCATAGCAAAATCCGGCGAAGATAGTTTTCTTCCACCTTCAGGATGGTAGCACATGGAATACTTTCGCACTTCGCCACAATGCTCTGTTTAAGTTCCTCAATGGTTCTCGGTTTTCGGGAATAAACCGTTTGCTTCAGATATCCCCACAGAAAGAAATCCAAGGGGGACAGATCAGGTGACCTTGGAGGCCATTCCTTTGGTCCTCCTCGGCCAATCCATGTGCAGTTGAATTCCGAGTCGAGGTAACTGCTCACCACCAGAGCATTGTGTGGCGGTG